TCGGCCTCCCCTCGCCTCCCGGCGCCCGGCCGCGGGCTCCGCTCTGCTCTCGCTCCCGCCCGCTTCCTCTCCCGGCCCCCTCCTCCCCGCGCCGCGTCTCCCCCCCGCAGCCTCGCTCCCCGCCTCGGACTCGCTCTCCCCGACTTCTGCGCCGGGCTCTGTCCGCGGGCTCCCTGGGACCCGCCTCGCTAGGGCTCCAGGTGGCCGCCTCCCAGGTCCTCGGGTCGTCCCGGGTCCCCGCCGCGCTCCCCGCCACCTCCCGGTCCCGCCAAGCGGACTCCAGGAATGCCGCGTCCCCGCCCGGCCCCTCTCGAGGGCGCCCAGCCGTGCCTCCCCCCGGCCCGAGCCCTGCTCCCCGGCCGGGCCCCGGCGTGGGGCTCCGGGGAGGGGGGAGGACGGGAACCGGATCTCGTGGCTGCCGGGCGGGGGCGGGGGCCGGGGCCTCGGACGCCGGGCTCCTACCTGCTCGGAGGTCCATGGGGCTGGGGGCCGGGCCGGCCGGGCGCGGCTCCTCTCCCGGAGGCTGGCGGAGTGGGAGGGCGAGCCGTGGCTCCGGCGAAGCTTTAATAATCCCATCCGCCAGGCCCACTCGCAGGTTTTTTTCGCTCGGTTTCGGATTTTTTTTTTTCGGTGTGGGACATTCTGCAAACTTTTTTTTTTCTGACGTGTAAAGCTGTAACCACAAATTGTAGCAGCCCTCCCCGGGGTGGGGGGAAGAGGGGGGAGGAGGGAAGGGAGGGCTTCTGGGGCTCCTTTCCCTCCCACAACACTGAGGGGGGGGGTGAGGTGAGGCGAGGCTGGGACAGTACCACCCTGGGCCTCCTGGGGGAGGGGGCAGGGAGGGCATCAGTCCCGTCTCCAGACTACGGAGAGCCCGAGCCCAGAGGGAGCTGGCCTTCAAGTGGGCTTCTTCCTCCTGGTCTGTCAGGGGATGCCTGCCTCCCATCCCCTGCCTAGCTTGGGGTCTCTGTGCCCACCCTACCTCTGCCTCCTCACGTCTAACCAACCATTCCTCCCCCTCCCCCTTGAGTAAATGCAATGACACATTCTCCCAAATGCCAGCAAGCTGGCCTCCAAGCAAGTGATGGTGTTTTTCCTGCTGCCCTTTGTCTGGGCTGACCGCCCCCCTTGCCTATTGTCCCGCCACTTGTCCTATTTCCAAAAGCTAGAGCTAAGTGAGGCGCCAGGGGCCGGAGCAGGTGACTAACCAGCTCACAATGCCCCCTGTGGGGGGGGGGGAAGAGGGCACCAGGGCCCACTGCCCAGCTTCCCCCTCAAGTTCACAAGGTTCTCCATTCTTCTCAGTGACCAGGGAGAGTGCCCATGGGTGGGGGATTGTAATTCATTAATCAGCACAAGGCACCCGACCAGTTTCAACACCAGAGGCTTCGGTGACTCAGCGGGAATGCGCACAGTCAAGGCCGTGGACAGAGGAGCGTCCCGTTTGTGAAATGCTTCCCCATCAAGACATTTGGCATCCTCCTTCCTTTGGGGTTTTGGGTTGTTGGTTTTTTGGTGGTGAGGTAGAGGTGGTTTGGCAGTGTGTGCGCGCTCTCCCTCCTTCCCCTCAGGCCTGGGTTGGGATTTGCTGGGCTGGAGACCTCTGGGATCCATAAGTCTTAGACCCTCCCTTGAGGGTCTCCCTTCCTCCTCCTTCCTCCCTCTCCAAAGAGCTGCCAGGGAGAGCGCACAGAGGAAACAGCTGTCCTATGGGGCTTGTAGACAGCCCCACCACGTGATTTGTCTTGGGGGACAGTCATTTGGTCCACAGTCTCTGGTGCATAGTCTATCAGCAGTTAAATCATCAATTAATAAATTGCCTTTTTGATCTGTTGCTTCAAAGAGGGAGAGGCTAGTAGTGGCTAGATCTGGAAGGTGATGCTTTTCTCTGGAGTGGCATGAGACTTTCTTTCCTCAGTCACTCCTGCTGGTGCCCCTGGAAGAGGAAGGCACTCTGCCAGTCTGCTACCCCCTCTGGCCTGGGGGTCAGAGCAGGCATCCTGGTCATGGCCAGTGCTGGATTCTCAGGGCAGCTTTTCCCCTTTCTGCACTGGAGAAGTGAGGTGGGGGGGTGGGGGGGTGGGGAAGAAGTTTGTTTTCAATTACCTCACTGGAGTGGGACAGACTTTGTTGTTGGGTTGTTTCTCCCCCCCTTCTGTGTTTCTCTCTCTCTCTCTCTCTCTCTCTCTCTCCTCTCTCTCTCTCCTCTTTCTCCTCTTTCCCTTCTCTCCTCTCTCCCTCCCTGTTTCTCTCCAGGAGCTCTCCCCCCCCCTAAAAAAAGCCGGGAATGGCGAGCTGGCCTGGGGTGGGGGGCAGGGGAATGGCGAGCTGGCCTGGGGTGGGGGGCAGGGGACTCTGGAGCATCAGTGGCAGCTCTGATGAAAAGTTGGAAAGTGCCTTGGAGGGGTCCTTGTGAAAAGTGCTCAGGGTCCCCTCCCCCAGCCCCACCCCCATCCAGGACTGAAGTTTCAGTGACATTCTTAGCCAGTGAACCCAACTGTCTTTTGATACTCATGCCAAGGTCAAGAAGGCAGATGCCCATGAGTGACTGGACATGGAGTCTGTCAGGAGGTTCCCCCTAGCATCTACCCCTTTCTAAGAAAGGGAGCCAGGAAGGGAAGGGAGCAGGAGGGGAGGGCTTGCTCCTGATGGAGAGGCTGCACAGACAATGTGGTTTGGATTTGGCTGAGCCCCTCAGCACCTTATAAAGCACCTTGCTGAGTCAGGGGGAAAGCAGCCCCAATGCGGAGAGAGGAGGGGGCTGGGAGAGAAAGAGGAGGGGGGCTGAAAAAGGGGGACTGAAGGAAGAGGAGGGAGAAAGGAAGAAGGGGAAGGGAAAGGGAGACACAATGAGGCAAATGGGAGTGAGAAAGAAGGAGGTTAGAGCTGAAGGAGAGACAGGGGAGGCACTGGCCAGGAAGAGGAATGGATTCTGCGGTGGAGCTGGGGAGTGTGTCCTATGGAACTGTGTCCCACCCTGCCATAGCACAGGTCTACTTGGGAAATTTACAAAGCTTGGCTTTGCAGGAACCCCGAGGGCTGGGACTCTCAACCGATCCAAGCCAGGTGGGGCAGGACAATTGGCTTCACACAACCCCTGGGCCCCCAGTTTTGTCTCTGATTCTTAATGTAGTGACCCCATAAGCTGAGAAAGTGGCATTTTCCTTGGGCCTCTTGCCTGTTCTTGCCTCTTTGCCCTCTCCCCTCACCCAGGAGGGGCCAAGCTTCTCCCCTCCCCCTCTTCCACACTGCCAAAGGGAAAATCAACTCCATCTCCAAGCAGCTAGTGCCCCTCTGCCATGTCTGGGCAAAGGCAGCAGGCTAGAAGCTGCCAGTCGGGATGGGGTGGGGGCTGGAATAAAAACTATACCTTACTCTGCCAACTCCTCAATAGGGGTGGGCTGCTAGAATTTGGGGGAGAAGGAGTAAAGAGAAGAACAGGAGGGCCCCTCCAGGGTTTTTGTGGGACAAAACAGACAGGTCACTGTCCTCTGATTTCTAGCTGCAGGACTGGGAAAGCTTCTGTACTGCCCTTCCCTTCCCCTTAGCAGCTCCCAAATAACCTTATCAGGATCCTCCCAGTTCCAACAACCTGGGACTGTGGATGGGGGGAGGGCAGAGGTTGGAGGGGACATGCCCCAGCTTCAGATGCGCACCCTTAGGAAGACAGAATGTCCCTTGGATCCCTTGGATCCAGGAGGATACAGAACCGTGCTTTATCAGCCTACTGAGTGTTAGGTCCTATGAATATCAGGATAAGAAGAACCTAGCTCAGCCTTTAAGAATTCCAGTCTTAAGCCGGGTGCCAGTGGCTCACGCCTGTAATCCTAGCTGCTCAGGAGGCTGAGATCTGAGGATCTCAGTTCAAAGCCAGCCCAGGCAGCAAAGTCCGTGAGACTTTTTATCTCCAATAAACCACCAGAAAACTGGAAGTGGTGCTGTGGCTCAAGTGGTAGAGCGCTCACCTTGAGCTGAAGAGCACAGGGACAGCACCCAAACCCAGAGTTCAAGCCCCAGGACCAACTGGAAAAAAAAAAAAAAGAATTCGAGTCTTGATTGGGCACTGGTGGCTCACACCTGCAATCCTAGCTACTCAGGAGGCTGAGATCCGAAGATCTGATCTCCAATTAACCACAAAAAAGTTAGAAGTTGAGCTATAGCTCAGGTGGTAGAGTGCTAGCCTTGAGCAAAAGGAGCTCCAGGCCCCGAGTTCAAGCTCCAGTACCAGCAACACACACACACACACACACACACACACACACACACACACACAGAGTTCCCAGTCTTGGGACACATAGTAAATTTGTAACCAGTCACAGGTGGTAGTGAGTCTCTTTAGGAATAAGAAGGCTGGTGTTTCCAGGTAGAGATTTGGGCTGAGCAGAAAGGGTCAACTGGGCACCACCATATAATTCCCTGCCTGTGCAGAGATCAAGTTCTGAGAGTCAGAATACCTAGTTCCCAACTGGCCCATGTGGACAAGGCTCTTGCTTCTCTGTGGAAGTGGGTGTGAGCATCTCTGCCTCCTCTCCATAGGATGGTGGGAGTACCCAATAGGCTGGCAAAGGGACATTGGTTTGCTGTCACCTCTGGCGTTCCAGACTGCAGGCCACAGGCAGATGGCAGGTCAGGCAGGCCCAAGGGAGATGTGTGGGTGTGATAGATTTGGCACTAGGTGATGACCAAGCTGCCCTCCAAGTAGTAGGGGTGAGTCAGTGTTGATTGGTTGATTTCCTACTTCTTCCTCCTTCCCTCCCTTCCTGACTAATTGGCATCCCCAGAGAAGGCTTTTCAGGTGTCTCCAAAATATCAGGCCCCACACGGCCTTGAGGCTGGCATTGAAGGGGTCCTGCTTCAGGAGGTTGTAGGGAACTTACAGCCAGATCACCCTCTAACAAGGTGACCAGAGTGGGGTTGGACAGTCCGCAGAAGTGAGCAGTGACAGTCTCTAATTCATTTGTTCACCAGACACTCCCAGAATGCCTCCTCTATGCCAGACACTGAGGACATAGAGAGGAACTTTAAGGAGCCATAGGGTGGAAGGCTGGAGGCAAGAAAAGTAGGAGCCACCAGGAACTCCCAGCCTACTTCTATACTGGCAGTTCTCATTTATTTTGCTTCACTTCAATGCTGACCAAAACTTAAATGTGCTAAGCTGCTTCCCAGAACACTTTAGCTCAGCCTGGTGCTGAAGCTGTCCAGGTCCTATTTTGTCTCATCTTTGTTAGAACCTTAGGAGCGGGGAATTGTTGTTTCTCCTTTTTATGTGAGAAACCATGTCATTATCTTAGATCAGGTCACACTGGTCTGTGAGGGATAGAACAAGGATAGAACCCAGCAATGTCTGACTCCAGTGACATCCTTTTTCCCCCCTTCTTTTTCTTTGCAACATGTACTTTAGACTACACAGATGTCAGCCTAGGGGCTGCTATGAGAGACTCAAAGAAGAAGGGGCTGGGTCTGAGAGCTGGCTTCAACATACCAGACTTTGCTGAGTGCTCCCTGGCTAGGAGGCTTGTGGTTATGAGTATAACTGGTCCTTTAGGACACCAAGCTGTTCCTTGGAACCTAGAAAGTCCAA